TGCTCCATTGCTGTGGAATAGTTTATCCCCCAAGCTCCAGACCACCTCCTCCCTGATAGTATTTGGGAAAGCAGTGAACAACCAGCTGCATCAGAGCTTTTATTAATTTTATAACTATACTGGTCATTTTAGTTATACTGCCGTCACCAGTTAATGGATACCAGGGTGGGTGGATCATTTATGGATTTTGTTATGTATTGGTTTTCTGATCTGGGAGTTTTTTTGGGAGACCAGCATGATATACCTGAACAGCGTAACTAAATACTGTGCAAACCCAGGAACTGTGGTTAGCAAACCACGTCTTTATGGCTTAAGTGTAGTGTTTCTCAACCTCAGCAACTTTAAGGTGTGTGGACTTCAACTCCCAGAATTCCCCAGCCAGAGGTTGAGAAACACAAGCTTAGTGTGATATATGAACCCACCTATTGTGGTTTCTGAAGCCTGGCTTATAGTTCAGCACTGCATAAAAAGGTCATTGTAGCTTGTTGGTTAAGCAAATCATTGCTTGGTGCAAAGTGAACCCAGCCACTGAACGAGTTCATATATTATAGTTGTGGCTTAACTATGGTTTATTGAATAATTAGGTGTGTAGCCTCTCTTGGTGAACACAAGGAAGGCAGGGACGGGACTGATTGGGCATTCCTTCCAACTAGCTTTGCAACAATGAGACCTAGAAGCATATAACATCCTAAAAAACTAAAGTATGTGCTGAATAACTTCTGCATCTCTGAAGACACAAAAATCACATATATTTTCTGAAATCTACTGAAGTGATACCCTTTGTTGTCAGTTACAGTTTCTTGCTCCTTCATTCTTTTTATAGAGACAACTCTGCAACTTTCACATTTAATTTTTTTCATTTTTAATTTCCACACCAACAAAAAATCCCCTGTAACTTCAGTTGACAGATTAAAGATGAATCCAACATTTTTTTTAAAAAAATTATAAAATGGGAAGGTAGATTTCATTTTTTTTGTTTTGTTTTGTTAAAAAAAGTGTATAAACTATTGCCTAAGCAAGGGAAGGGTCAATTGCATAGAAAATACAAATATGAATAAACTTGAACAGTAGAACATCTATCCCTGGGTACATTATAATGTTGGCTTTACAATCAGATGTGACTGAATTCCAACAGTAAGAGGCATAGTCAATGCCAACGTCAGCCACTGTGTCTCAGGCCCGCAGACCTCTTGCAGTATATGTCAAAGCCCAGAAATATACGCAGTTAAAGAATTTAATTCCCAATAAAAACGTGACAGTTTTTAAGATATATGATTAAGCAGTCAAAGATACCATGCCGATGTCAGCTAAGAGAGAGACGTTCTGTCTAAATTGCCCATGGGCCGACCGTTTCAAATACTGTTTGCATCCTTCATTCCCTTCTGAACAAATATAGGTATCCTGCAGCGAGCCTGATGCGATGGATAAAAAGCTTACATTTGCTGAACAACCTTCAGTACTACATCTGGCTAACCTTGGAGCTTCTGAACAGGAACTTTTGGCCAAGAGCTCTTCATCGCTGCAGTCCACTGATTTAGCAGAGGCTCCCCTGTGCCCTGGCTGAGGAGAGGGGACACGGAGCAGGACGGCCTGTGACTGAAGGCTGAATGGCCACCTGTTCCTCTGGCACAGTGGAGCTTGCCCATCCATGAGGACTGTTGGCTAAGAAGGGTGGATGTCCAGAGGTGATCCACCCAGAGCTATTTGTTGCAGGTACCTGCCACAATGTATATGATGAGAGTACTTTTACCACTGGGTGGTGAAAGAATAGTTGAAGATCCTGGTGCAGCAAGAAGGGTCACCCATACATTTTCGGGAGAGAAGCATGATGCAAAACAAGTGTCTGAACAAAAGCAAAGCATCATACATACACGTGCCCATGAAGGTACAAATCCAGGGTGACACATGCACAGATTTAGGAGTAATTAAATCTTAACTGACAATTAATAGCCAACTGGCATAAATTCTGCAGCATCATTGCCTGCTAATCCCAAACTAATGCCATAAAAACACAGCCATGCTATCTTAACTCTATAAGTCACACCTCCTCAAAGAGTCAGAAAGAACCCTTGAAAGGAAAAAAAACCCACAGCTCGAAATATCAAAGCACTACAAAAAGTAATCCAAAGTTCTAGATCAACCCAGTCCAACCCACCCCTAGTCCAGCAAATTCACACTCCTGGACTCTTTTACTTCACAATT